CCACTTTAGGGAAATGACTAGAGACAGGCAGGCTCCAATCCCAGAGCCCAGAACAGGAAGTTGGAAAGACTCACCAGCTATTATGTGTGATGTCTCTGCAAATCTCAGTGGTTCACGGAGGAACAGGGTACTGTATGTAGTATTCGTTGGCATTTGCCTGTAAGAACACATACAGAAGCCAGGGACTAATGTTGGCATTTCCATCTCTGTTTCTCTCTACCTTAATTTCTGAGGCACAGTTTACCACTGAGCCTGAATTTTGAATTTCAATCAGGCTGCCTGGCCAGGGATCCCTGCCTAGATCTCCCCATCCCCCACCCCACTCCACTCCCATTAGAGATGAGCTCACCACACCCAGCTTTTTCCCTGACTGCTGAGGATCCAGACTTAGGTCTTCAGGCTTGCTCAGCAAGCACTGCAATCACAAGCCATCCTTCCAGCTCCAAATCCTAGTGGCTCTTACCTCGGCGTCTTTTTCTTAAAGGGAAAGGGCTACCAGCTTCAGACGAGCACCTCTTAAATAATTAACGTACCTATGTGCAGACCGATCAGGAAGTGGCCCAAAAGTTTAAGATCCTAATGGTGCCAGAAATAAAATGAAGGCAGACATGCCTTGCTTTACCTCACTTTCAGTTAACCCCTAAGTGTCTGTCAAAACAGCCGCTCAGTTCCTGCCACAGCTTTGAGAACCATTTGATTTCTGGTAACTTCCGGGAGGGGAGGCCTAGAAGTCCTCATGTCTATGACTTCTCTGTGTTCTAGTTCACTGTCTCCTGGGCTGTTAGTGCTGGGAACTTAAGAAACCCGCCTTCTAAGTGACTGGACCCTTCAGGAAATCACTGTCCCCTCTGGACTGAGGTCATACAAACGCTAGGCTTGGAGCCTATCTTTCTAATTCCCTAACCACGGGCTGTCTTGTTAGTCATGATGCCGGGTACCTCAACATCAGCTTGCTGATTGGACTTCACTATCTTTTTAAGAAAGGCAGCTTGCAATGCCTTTTATAGGGCATAGGAAGAGCCTTTTCTCTTAGGAAGAGAGAACAGGAATGAATGTCTTCAAACATGGGTCACAGTATAGCTCCTTAACTGTGTGCATAATATGTATAAGACCCTGGGTTGGCCGGGCAGTGGTGGTGCACGCCTTTAATCCCAGCACTAGGGAGGCAGAGCCAGGCGGATCTCTGTGAGTTCGAGGCCAGCCTGGGCTACCAAGTGAGTACCAGGAAAGGCGCAAAGCTACACAGAGAAACCCTGTCTCAAAAAAACAAACAAACAAAAAAAAACCTATCCAATTTCGATGTAGATGTAGAGAAAAGTAAAGATAAATACACAACCAAAATTTAAAAGCATTTTTTCCTAACTTATCTTACAAGTTCATGTTTAAGGGCATATGTCATTTGCTAAAATATTGACTTAAGTAAAATATAATTTTGAAAGCATGATTTTTAGCCGGATGTGGTGGTACATGGGCACATTCTCCAATCTCAGCATTCAGGAGGCTGATACAGGGTGATGGGAAATACTTGACCAACCTGGGTTCTCTAGGAAGACCCTAACACAGGAAACAAGATGAGAGGGGAGGAGGGAGGAGGAAGGTAGATTACTTCTGGTGTGCTGCATTGTAGTATAAGCTGCAGCAATTATTTGAAAATACCACTGTCTACTCAATTTAAACTCTCACTCACTGGGAATAAAAAATTGAAGCTAGGTGGTGGTGGCGCACAACTTTAATCCCAGCACTCGGGAAGCAGAGGCAGAATCTCTGTGAGTTCGAAGACAACCTGGTCTACAGAGTAAGTTTCAGGACAGGCTCCAAAGCTACACAGAGAAACTGTCTCAAAAAAAAAACAAAAAAGCAAACAAAAATTTAAGTGATTAAATTGAACACAATATTCTAAAATACCAACTAAACATAATTGCAACTTTTTCTGAACTTTAAAAAAGGAAGATAACTAACATTTCGTGGTACTGAAGAGATGGTTCAATAGTTAAGAGTACTGGCTGCTCTTCCAGGGAACCAGAGGTAAATTTCCAGCACACACATGGCAGCTCACAATCATTTATAACTTTAGTTCCAGGGGATGTGATGTCCTCTTTCTGGCCTCTATGAGCACCAGGGACATACAGGCATGTTTATAGGCAAAGGGCTCATATGTATAAAAGAATTTAAGTAGTTTTTAAAAATAAAAATAAAGGAAAGATGTCCAACGTCTCTTTATCTGGGGTTCAGGTATCTTATTTTAAATGTAATGACCTGCAGACCTGTGACATTTGCTTCTGAGAACAAAATGACATCAGTCTTTCCCTTTTTTCCAGCCCGTGGTAGCTACTGGTCAAGACTGGAGGCTTCACCGGGCTGGTTACTCAACTTTACCACCTTACAGCATAGATCACTGCTCTTCAGCAGTTCTCAACCTGTGGGTCGTGACCCCCAGACCTTACCACAGGGGTCACGTGAGATATTTACATTACGATTCATAACAGTAGCAAAATTACAGTATGAAGCATCAGTGACAATAATTGTATGGTTGGAGGTCAGCACAAGGTGAGGAACTGAGTTAAAGGATCATGGCCTCAGGAAGGCTGAGATCCACTGCTCTTAGTTCCTTTGTAATTCCCCTTTCCTAGCTAAAGTTCTCCCATGCTTTAAAAAATCTACTGTTTGAGTGTTTTATTTACTCATCTTTTATGGAAATTCTTCTGGGTGATGAGCTACAGAGGGCAGGAGTTTGGAAGATTATAGTTCAGAGACATTTTTTCTAAAACCCAGATCGGCATTTGACAGAAAATACAATTAAAGATATGTGCTAGGCATGGTAGTACATGATTCCTAACACTCAGGAAACTGAGTGGATTTTGAGTTCAATACCAACCCAGGCTATGTAGTAAGACCTTGTTGCGGAAAAACAAAGGACAAAACAAAAATGTGTGTGTGTGTGTGTGTGTGTGTGTGTGTGTGTGTGTGTGTGTGTGTGTGTTGCCAATTAATGGCTGGAGGGCTAGACAAAATATCAATAAGGAAAATGAAATAACACAGAGAAAAACTCACTTTCTACTTGCTTTTTTAAATAAAAGAAAAATGATTTATAAGGACTTGAGAGGTTTTGATTGGTTGGTCAGCAGGTTGATTGGCTAGTGGCCGGATGCCTGGCTGCAGGGTTGGACTGCTGTCCAGTTGTGTTGTGGTAGAGTTTCCCAAGCTCTGTAAACTGTAGTGCTTTCTGAAGAATCTACCTTTCTTGTGGGGCTATAGGAAGGGTAAGGAAGTATAACACTTCAGCGGTGCCGCGGACATTGTAGGCTTCACTGCTACGGTGGTTTGAATTCGATGTGTCCTTATTCTCCAGCATTTGGATTACTGGCCCCCAGTTGGTGGTGCTGTTAGGAGAGGCTTAGGGGATGTGGCCTTGTTGGGAGAACTATGTCAACGGAGGTAAGCTCTGGAAGGTGAAAGCCTGGCACTATTCTTTGTGTGATCTCTGCTTCCTGTTCAGCCACCCTGCTTGCCACCTGCCAGGCATCTCCTCCGTGATGGTGATGGACTCTTACCCCTCTGGAACCATTAGCCCAAATAAACACTTCCTTCCATAGTTGCCTTGGTCACAGTGTTTCCTCACAGCCATAGGGAAGTAACTAAGACAGCTGGCATGTTCAGTATTCTTAGGAGAAAAGTATGGGGTGTAGCCGTACAGTGCTTGCTTAGCAAGCATGAGAGCCTAGATTCAATCCCCAGCACAAGGAAAATAAAGGCAATTTAAATTTTAAAAAATCATAACTCATAAAAGAAAACTGCACATTATTATTATTATCATCAAGATCTGAACAAAACCAATTCCCTACTAATTTGAATCCTTCAACTACATTTCACTGCTGCAGATGTGTCTACTGTAGGCCAGATGCACACATGCTAAGAGAGTAAGGCAAACCATGCAGGAAATGCTTGCAAGCACACACAGAAATCCCGTTTTCCCTCAACAGATTAAAATTTGACTCCCACACCCTCTCCTCATTGCCTTGCCATTGAAGACTCATTAGGACAGCAGTTTTCCCTACGCAAAATTGGGGCACGATGTATTCTTCCTTAACATGCATAATAACGATTCTCCAAGTATGTGGTTTGCAATTATTTACTAACCTAAATGCTAAAATCTATGGGTGTGGGTGTGGGTGTGTGTTAAATGTGTTCATGTGGGTATGTGCACATTTATGTGTGTATGTGAACACTCACATAACTCAAATGCATGTGGAAGCCAGAGGCAAATGGGCTTTTCTCTGTCGATCTTATCTTTATTTTTTGAGACAAAGGCTCTTCACTGAACCTGGCGCTTACTGATTGGCTAGATTGGTCAGAGTGCTCCAGGGATCAACCTGTCTCCACTATCCACTATCTCTGGGGTTACACACTTGAGGCGCCACAGCTGTTCTTCCTGGGGTCCTGGGACTCTGAGCTCAGATCCTCATGCTTCCATGGGAAAACCTTTACCTACTGAGCCATCTCCTCCCTCTATGTACAGTGCACTCAGATGCACACACAGGAAGAAGGTGATTGAGCGTATACTGCAGGCTACATCAGTTGGTCTATATGAGCAAAGTGAGAGACACAAGCAAAACAAGTTCTTGATATGAGAAAGAGGGGCTGTTCACTCAAGTCACACACTAGCCAGCTACCTCAACAAGTTAGGAAACACTTTATTTTTGCTAGTTGCCAGTCTGTACAGATACACTGAAGCTAGGAAGTTTCTATTGCATACGTTAACTCTGTCATGTGAACCTAACACTAGGAACAAGGGCCTCTCTCCAACAGAGTGTTTTCATGACCCTGATTCCTAGAACCACTCTCTGCAAATGCCCAGGCCCTGTGTCCTCCACCCAGTGTCCTTAACATTCATGACATGTGTACGATTTCAGAGAGAGCTGCCCTGGCTTATGAAATGCTGTAAGAATGTAAGAGAGAAATCACACATCTTTGTTGTTAACGAGCAGCTTTCTATTTTTCAGCGCCGTCTGGGAGATGCAGCAAAGAAAGCCATCAGCAAGCTCCAGGTCAGGACCATCAGGAAGGGCGACAAGGTGAGAAGCCCTTTTCCTTTTGGATGAGGACCTAGTCAAGGAAACTCTTGTCTTTTCTGACAGCCGAAGGAGAAGAGAGAGAAGGGAAGGGAAGACAGATGTGAACCTGTCCTGTCTATGCGTATCTGGTGCTTAGAATGTTTTTATTAAAGACATCAAGTGTTTATAAAATTCATGCAGTTTGCTGGCAACCAAACATGGGAAATTTTTAAGTCAAGCGTGCAACAATAACCAAGTTGAACAGCCAGCATGAGTACCCATCAACAAATGAGTGAATAAAGGAAATGTGAAGTGTATACACAGTGGAGAATTATTGAGACATTGATAAGAATGAAATTACATCATCTGAAAGATAATAAATGGAGCAAGATACCACCATGTTAAGAAAATTAAGTTAGGTGTAGAAAGATGATATACCACACACTCTCTCATATGCAGAATCTAGAATTTACAAAAGCACTTATAAGTAGAAGGGTTCCTACTCAAGAAATATGAGAAGAGCCGTGGAAAGGGTGGGGGATAGGAGACATTAGTGGGAAGTGGAAGAGTGTGATACGCATGCATGGAAATGTCCTAGTGAAACCAGCATTGTGTACAATAAAGAAGGGCTTTAAAAGGTGTGCAAGAAGCCAGGTGTGGTACCCCACACCTTTAATCCCAGCCCTCAAGAAGCAGAGACAGGTGGATTTCTGGGGGTTCCAATCCAGCCCGGTATACACAGTGAGTTTCTGATTAGCCAGGACTACATAGACCCTGTCTCAGAAAAGTACAAACTACAAGAAAACATTCCAAGTCTGGGTAAGATGAGAACACAAAGGTGTTACGTGAAACATGTGACAGAACTGGTCTTAAATTTAGGTTGAAACTGTCTGACCATCAATACAAAAAGAAAAACAGGAAACTAAAGTTCAATATTTCAATCAGTATTTGCTTACCTTACTCCAAGTGATTCAGAAAAACAAAAGCGTAATAGTTACTCTTAGTATGACCCCGTGGAAGTTTTTCCAAAAGTCCTTGGAAAGAAGGTGGGTTTATACCCTGAGTTGTGCTCTCCGCAGAAGTTTAGATATAAATGTGTAAATGATATTTAGCTCTTCTGAACTCTAGGGCTTAGAACACTAAAGTCATTTCACCAGCCTCCTCCCTCACTATAGAAGGGTGACAAGAAGCCAAAGGCCATGAGCCACCTCCAGGAAGGACAAAAAGGAGTACAGCCCAAGCCTACAGGCTCTAAAGTTGCCCCAATGCCCAGTCTTTTAGAACAGTGGGCTACAGTACAGCATATGGGCTTAGCGTCCCCTGGAGACTTGGTACTGAATTGACCTTCGCATGCACGTCAGGTGTTGTCGCTGTCTGAACAATTGATTTTTCTCACAAGTTATTTGCTAGTACTTTAAGTGATATGAAAATGCTTTTGAGATTAACAAGAGAACATTGATTTAAAATGATAGCCAGGAGTGTGGGAAGACAGCTCATTAGGTAAAATGCTTGCCCTAACTGAGTTTGAGCCCCAACACTCACAGAAAAGGCAAATGTGGTGACGCTTGCTTGTGGAGACAGACACTGGAGGATTCCTGGGGTGCAGTGAGAGGCACCATCTCAATAACAATAATAGTAAGAATGGTGGTGGAGGTGGTGGAGGTGGTGGAGGTGGTGGGGT